ATCATAGCGGATGGAATGACAATATTATTGTAATGAAATTATTTGTTACATTTCAAAGACTATGTTAATGGCAAAATCAGATTTAGGATTCTCTATGTTCAAATTCTTCATTATACTATATGTGTGACATTGTAACAAGGATCGAATTGTTGATAGAATGGATCTATTTTAACCGTTAAATTATAACAACTGCCAAAAGTGAAGATCTAATTAACTATCTACTAACATAAAAATTGCTGTCAATCATTATTGAGCATAAACAATATACATGACATCCTCTAATAGATCTTTATAACAACTGCTGAAAGGAAAGATCTGATTAACTATCTACTAAAATCAAAACTGGTGTCAGTCATTATTGAGCATAAACAATATATATGACATCCTCTAATAGATTTTTATAATTCTTAAATATTCTTTAAAATACAATTGAATAAAATGGTACATGTATTAGTTTTGTTCAATGCCTCTTAATAATGTAAGAAAATTAAATCCTTCCATTAGCTACTTTCCAATAGATTTTTTAAAAAAAAATCTATTCTCTATAATTTAATCTTAGTGTCCTATAACATCCTGCTTTTAGTATCTGCTCTCAGATGAGAACTGTTTGTCAAATTTCCATTAAGGTAAAGGTGAAAAATGAATGAACCACTTACTTCAGATATTTCAAAACTAATGCAAGTCTATTAGTCATGCAGCACAAAAAAATCAAAGATTTTGGTATGTTCAATTATGGTTTAGGATTCGCTCACATTTAACTTTTAAATACATTGTTTTATATGCTTAACAGGGCATTCTAGAGAAAAATGAAATGCAGTTACTGATTTTTTATTGGCTGATAAATATACCTTAAATATGATCTTATTTACCGAAACACTTTCATCTACAAAAGATTTTAGAACAAGGTTAACCAGTGAGGTGATGGGGCTACACAGGCTTCGGAAGTCTGCTTAACAATCAGCTGAGGAAGGGTAGCAATAAGCCGGGAAGGAATCATAAAGCTATGTATCATGCAGAGAATTATAAATTGTTCTTCAGTTTTTCCCAATCCATTCGGTAGGCATTCAGAAGACCAGTAAGATGGAAGTATTTGAACTGCTTTCCAAACAGCTGTGGCTTCCTTTCTATTTCACCAGTTCTTGATCTCCTGTTTCATTCCTGAGAATGTACTAGGCTCTCTGTATCATACATGTGGATAACATGATCCTGTTCTGCCCACAGTAAGAGTGTTTTGTGTAAAGAAATGAGGGGTAAGGAAACCAAGTGTTTTTAAACAGTGATCGCATTAGTTGGAAATGATAAGCAGCACCAAAAAGGTGCAGATGCATCATGCAGGTCTGGAGGATGTGCGAGAGCTTCATGTAGAACGTGGCTTTTGAGTTGGGCTTTGAAGGAAGGGTGTAATTCAGGCATAAAAATGCATGCGATGCATGAGAATTACAAGCAGAAGGACCGGCTTAAGTAAAAAGAGGGAAGATGTCAGTTGCAGAGTATATGGGGCTTATTAAGTTCTAGCACAAGACGTGTGAAGAATAATGACAGTAAGTAATGTTGGGAACGTAAAGTTTGAATTGGGGATCAGTGAAATCGTGCAGTACCTTAAGCCATTTCATTTTGTATAAGATATAGGTCAGCACACAACCTTCATGAAATGTATCTGTACGACCAATGTCCATTAAAAAAAAAAAAAAAAAAAAGACAGCACATAAACACTGTTTGGTTGTCCCACATACAATACGAGTGCCAAGGCAACGGCTGAAGCAGACAGTACGTACTGGGAGGACCAGGGAGAGCTAATTACTGTGCCAGACATTGTCTGTGCACGGAGATACGCGTCACACTGGCCCCGGATGTGGCCCAGAGCAGGAGGTTCAGGGCTGTCACTTTTTGCTGAGAATAGCTTCCCCGAGGTCTGCAAACCCCTTTCAGTTTGTCTCAGCAGGCCGTATGACTCTGAGCCTCTCTTATCTGGACTCTGCAGGGCCTGGCTCATGGGCAGGTGACCTGTGGAGTCTCACAGAGCTTCTTCTCGGAAAGCCCCTACACTTGATTTAATGCTCTGCTATTGCCGTATTGAAATTCTTCACACTTTTGGAACAAGCAGTCCCACGCTGTCATTTTGCTCTAGGCCCTGCAAATTATACAGCCAGTCATTGTAACGTGACATGAGAATGGTTGGGGAGCAGTGAACTACACTGTGGTCAGAACCCAGTGTCATGTATCCACAGAAAGGAGTTACTAAATTATGAGCCCAGCACTGTGCTCCTGTAACAGAACTGACTCTATGCTTAAATCTTTGTTACTGTTTTCCTCGAAACCAGGGCCCCCACAGCTGCTGCAGGCCTAAGCTAAATATCATTGCAGCTTTGTGGTTTTCCAGAGAGTAAAGTAAGGAAACACTGTCAAAATGTATTTTTTCATTTATACTTTGCCTCCTGGAGCCTGGTTACGAGTATCATCAGACTCCATACCTCCTGCAGTCCTATCAAATTCAATTCTGAGAAAACCTTTAGTAATTATTTTCCCTAATAAAAGTTCTGAAAAATGCAATTCTGTGGTTGAAGCATTAATGGCTATCTGACAGACACTGGCTGTGTACTTCCTTTTCTAAGGCAGTAAAAATATTTAAACTAAGTATGTGTTTCATTGTTTCTTTCAGGACAATTCAATGTATATTCTCCATGCCCCTTACTCTGAGCATTGGTATGCTATCGTAATTGTTTTCTCTGCTTATTTTTGTTTAATCTTTATTTCTTCAAAGTTATAGAAGAATATGTTTTTTTTAACTAGTTAGCATTTCTGTGAGGCTTAATTTACAGAAGTGTCACCACCCACCCTTTTCATCATCCTCCCCTCTCTTACTGTCTCCCTTAGGCAAATATTTTATTGCTTTTTAACATCTTTTCTGCTCGCTTATTTTTATCTGTACCTCCCTGTCCTCTCTCCAATAACAGGCCTAGAGGTATCCATCACTTGTCAGTTTTATCCACTATATAGGCTCACCACTCTTTTGGATACAGATTTACCTTTGACAAGACTCCACATACATCACTCTGGGATTTTGCTCATTTCTGTTTCCTAAAAAAAATCAACTGTTGTGTTTCTTTTTTTTTTCTTTTCTTTTTTTTTTTTTTGGTTTTGGTTTTTCTCCGGTACCAGGAACCGAACTCACGACCTTGCACTTAGGCAGGCCCTTTGCCGCTGAGCTAAATCCTGAGCCCC